CTGAGGATATGAACTACTGTCGGCACAGAAGAAAATTAAAAATCCGAATCGTGCTCGATAAGTCGCACCTCAAAGCGCGTACATGCCGTCGCAGAGCGGAGCGAACGAGTGGGGCGAAGAGCGCACCTACAAAAGCCATGCGCTGGTCTCACTCAGTCATCTGTTTCTCCTACAAAAATGTACTTATAAGTTTAAGTGAACTCTCAACAGCCGCAGGCTCCTAAAGTTAGCCACCGGGTATAAGGTAATGTTAAGGTTAATTAAAATGGGAATTGCTCTGAAATAACAGACAAGCATCCAAATACACACCCATGTTATGCGCAGCAATGCGAATACGGGGCAGTATCCAATTAACTCTCATTAATTGGGCTGGTATGCTATACTGTTGTGATAATGAAGCCATTCATTATCACATCAAATCCCCCCCCCTCCCCTCATCGTGTGTATGATCGCAAAAGCGAGATTTCAAGCAAGCAATTACCTCGAGAATATTCGTTAATAGCGAATTGATATCGCTGATGCGAACAAGCACGATGCCTTACGTACGCGTGACGCCGTCTGCAATTCTGAGCGCTACTACACTTGTGTGACAGCGTGAGATGCGAAGTGTACTCGTCACAAGGATGTAAGGTGGTTTGTGTGGCAAGTGTAGTGAACCTTTTATCGAAGTCAGGCTCCTTTCTGGTGCAGAACTCGACTGGTATATGCGCATCACCATCGTTTCCTGCCCGCAAGAGTGAATTGAGTGTGATCAAGTGAGAGCTACACCGCAGTTCCTGCATAAATGCAAGTATTATTCTTTCTATTTCATCAATACGCTCCATAAGTGTATTCGGTCATATCGCGTATCAAGTCGTGAACAACGATAGACACGCGACCCACAAGGCTTCACCTGTACGCGTTTTCTTTTTTTTTTTTTTTTTATAGATAGAGAAATGCGTTACGCACCGTAAGGAGGTTGCGTTGAAATCAAACTGTAAGCACGATAACACGTGTAGCAGAACGCACATGTGAAGCTCGTGGTCAATACCGCAACGTGTATAACCTCATAAGGTGTGCGGAAGCCAGCGTTGTGAAAAACTTTCCGGAACATGGCTACCGCTGTCATCTGCCGTCACGGCTTTATCATCTGACCCGATGCTGCCAAATCAAACGTAGGCGGCAGAACTCAAATGGTATATTATGATACGTGTGACAGGCCATTATTGCACGGCCTGGTTAGCACCCGAACAAAGCGAGCTTTTTTATAGCACTGTGCTAAATTCACGTTTAGGCCTCGTTTGGCGAGATATATGGTGCTCATAATAGCGTCACCGTGCAATAATAAGCAGCTTACATCACGGCAAAGCGTGCCTTAAACGTGAACTTTAGCCACGCAGTGCTATAATAATGTTTTGTGTACACGCTGTAGTTTTATTATGTTGTTTTTCTTCATGAATGAAATGTTTTTTTACATCTTACATTAATTAATGAAATGTAATTTACATTTCATTCACGAAGAAAGACCACGTAATAAAACTACAGCATGTACACAAAACATTATTTGAGTTCTGCCGCCTACATTTGAGTCGGCAGCATCGGGTCAGATGATAAAGCCGTGACGGCAGTCGACAGCGGCAACCATGTTCCGGAAAGTTTTTCACAATGCTGGCGGCAGCAGTGAGAGCTCCACGAGCCTCTCCCACTTCCTTCTTTGCGTCATGGCCACGCCCCTCTGCCAATGCGCCTCGCAGCATTGAACAGTCGCTGTACGAGAGCGCCTAGCAAGTGCGCGCCTATACGGGAGTGTTCACGAAAGTCGTGACAACAAAAGTACGGTATCGCGACACGTGAAATTCTTGTCGTATAACATCGTCTGTTGTCCGTTTGACATTGCATAAACCGATATCCTGTGAAGACGGTGTAACTTTCTTATTGTATTTAGAAGCATTATTTAGTTAACAATCGTATAATTAATTCAGAATAATAAAATAAAAAGCGATTATATTCTACCGAATTAACAGTCTTAAGGAATTCACGAACCCCCTCATATAATAATAATCATAATCATACAAATTTTTGTTAGAGTCAACGCAACTCGCAGTGCGCGTCAATAGGCTCAGTGCTGTAGAACGCACGCGTGTACGAGACAGCGAGAAGAAATACCAGTACACACTGCGAGTGCTCTCAAAAAGCAAGCGTTACTTTTCAATATAATACAGTGCTTGTATTTATAACCAGACATTATTCATACATTTCATCTTAACTTCTCCGCTTTCGTGATTTTGGTAAATATCCCATTTCAAGTCCCCCTTTGTAAGCTAAGAAGTGAGCTTATAACCAAGCGTTTCTTACCGCTATGCGCAACACTATGCGCATATCACTATGCACAACAGCTTCTAGTAAACAAGTTGTCTCTCTACCTAGGTTGCGGTCAGTGAGAAATCAAAGGTCACCGTGAATCTCAAAGAGTCGTCGATTGTAGAGCACAGCTTCTAGATCCCTGAAAGCAATGGACTTGGTGAACTTCAACACTCTGTAGCAGAAGTAACTAGCCACTATTCACAACAGATAGGCTGGGACCTACATTTGGCTCAGGGCGATGAGAATTTTGTTCTATCGCGCCGTTTTGAAGGCGTTCCTCACATCTAGGCTGATGATATCGCAGTACTCCTTGGTAGCCGGGTGCTATCGTTTGCCACTGATGGCTGATCGTGCAGGGCTGAGGACAGTCTGTATGGCATCAATAGTTAATCGCCCCTTACGGAAGCCGTACTGTGAGTCTGTACTTCTCCAGTAATGGTGGAACATGAAACAACCGAGTAATGATCGTCGGAAACAACGTGGACACTGCGCGTCGCACCAAGTCCGGCGCAGTGGGCGGCGCCGTCCTGGGCACCCTGAGGCGGGACATGACTATTTTGTATGGTTTACCCCACGCATCGCAGTCCGCCTCGTCGCAGAGCTGCCTTAATCAGAGACGCTTGCTCGCCTTTATCGCCCTGCGTCGACGTCTTCGAGCGTTGGTGAACTCCTTCCGTTGGATGATCTCGTCAGCGAGACCGCGAGCCTGGGCGCTCCTTCGCAACCGGAGGCAGCTCCACCGACACTCCTCAATGCTGTCGCTTCGTCAACAGACAGGTTCACGGCGTCGTCGATCACCTCCTCTGTCCATGGAAGCGTCGCATGCGCGCCCGATTGTGGACATGAGTTTGTTCACCATGTCCTCAAGAGGACCCGACCAGATATCCATCTCGGAAACGAACCCTGGCAAAGCAGTCACCGTCGAAAGTGCGTGCGCTCCACTAACGTTTAACTACCGAAGGGCGGCTAACACTTCGATTCTCCTCGAGGAGGATCTTGAACGAAATATCTTGATGGTCATTATTTGTGTAGGTATAGCTAACACGCCAAGACCTGACTATCGTAGAGCGAGACACCAGTAAAGGTAAAGTCAATTATAGATCCTCCCCGTGGACCAACAAACGTAGATTTCAAAATTGAAAAGTGAGTCGCCTGGGTTCAAAAGCACAACCCAACGCAGTGAAAGGCCCAGAACTTCCTTGGAGAGGTAAGCGAGTGGACAAGAGGTACCGAAGTAAAAATTCTTGTCGACGGCATTTGAGCTGGGTCTCTCCGAGTGAGGACGATTTGCTCATCGCAATTTATTTATAAAAATTGTTTTATGATCGAACAGACTTGACAGTTAACGGTAAAGATTTTCAAGAAAAAATATCAACTACATTTATCGTTTTAACATGAAAAACGTCATTAATGCCCTAGCACCCCGCGCGGGCAGCGAAAACGGCCGGATCGCTCAGTTTTCAACTCGCTTGCAATGGGTTAAATAAAATTCAGAAAAATAAACCAATATATGTTTTCGATAGGTTTTTACCTCAGCTTTTCATTGATGAAGTCCAACATGCAAAAATATGCTTCTATAACCCCAAAAAATGGACTTGAATATAAAACACGTTGTAACTTCCAGAGTTCAACTCCAATTAACTTTCTGAGTAGCTAAATCGAAAGATTCCGCGATTTCACATGAGAAATGACTCTAAAAAATAGTATATTTTGCACGCAGGGAGTGAAAAACTAGAAAGTCTCAGAGCACGTAAAATTTATTATCCGAGGCTTATTTATAATCACATGCTCTGAGACTTTCTTTTTTCGTTACATAGGTGCAAATACAATTTTTGTGAATCCCCCATCCTAAAGTAACATTTTCATTTCGTTTAGCGGGAGTAAAATGTCACTTCAGGTTGGGGTGGCTCAAAAAAGGACTTTTTCGAGTTTCTCGAGCGGTGAAGAGGAAAAGAGCGCAAGGTCGGCCGTTTTCGAGCGCTGTGGCTTTTTTTTATCGCTACACTTTACGATTCTTTACCTTTGGAAAATTTTCCAAAAACTAATTGCACCATTAAAAAGATGAGAAAAAAATACACAAAAACCATTTATTTGTTAATTTTTATGGTTAAAGCCAAATGCGTGAGAGGTAAAGAAACGTAAAGTGTAGCGAAAAAACAAGCCGTGGCGTTCGCAAATGGCCGACCACGCGCTCTTTTCCTTTTCACCTCTCGAGAAATTCGAAAAAGTCCCTTTTTTTAGAGTCATTTCTTATGTAAAATCGCGAAATCTTTCGATCTAGCTACTCAGAAAGTCAATCAGAGTTTAACTCTGGAAGTTACAACGTGTTTTATATTCAAGTCCATTTTTTGGGGTTATGGAGGCATATTTTTGCATGTTAGACTTCAACAATGAAAAGCTGAGGTAAAAACCTATCGAAAAAATACATTGGTTTCTTTTTCGGAATTTTAATTAACCTATTGCGAGCAAGTTGAAAACCGAGCGATTTGGCCGTTTCCGCTGCCTGTGTGTGGTGCTGGGGCATTATTGGCGTTTTTAGCCATGATTGAAAATTTATCCGCATAATTCCAACTTAGAACGTTGAAGTGTACACAAGCAACAGTAGTACATTTTTCTTATTAGTAAGACAAATAATTTTATTAATAAAATTTGTTTACTTGATTTAATTGTTGCCTAGGTCCTATTTTACATTGAGCTGCTGGTGCTGATCGTACAAATTCCATACACGAACTTTCTGCAATACCCTGAGTCAAATCAGGTTCAATAATAACTGGGAAACACTCTGGATGATTAACATGGGGTTCACAGCAAGCTATTGAACTTCCATTGGTACCCCTACTTATTGCTGTTGCTGTCATATCATGATCTAGAAACTGTCCAAATACGGCAAGCATAACTGTGAAAGCAGAGTTTACGCTGGGGGAAGGTGGATGTACCTGCAAAAGTTACGAACAATCAAGCTATTGTTTTTTTTTTTTTTTTTTTTTTTTTCAAAAAAAGTCGTGAATTTTGGAAATACGAAGATACGACTCATTTATCGGACATGGCTTAAATAGCGGGATAAACTGCGAGGGCCACTTTTTGCAACATCAAAACCCATATACCGACTCACACGAGTAACCAGGCACCGGGCAAATGCCACGGAAATTCCTTGCAGAGACCCTTACCACTGGTGCAATCAATGAATCATACACGCGCGGTATCAGAGGAAATGAACAAAACGTTAGCGTTTATCAAAATACAATGCAAAATTGACTGAATTATATTCGGCCTCTGAACGAATTAGTAGTTTTTAGCCTACCAACTTATTTTTGAGAACCCTAATTTTTCTTTCTTTTCCAACGCGATTTTTTTTTTAGTTATTGTCAGATTATATACCATATTCCTTGAATCTCAATTTTCGGCAGTCCAGAATTTAATGAGCCCTTTTGCTGGCCCAATTACTTATATAAATAAATGAACTTACCACTGTCTGTTATTGATCTTAGCGTAGTGTGTAGGAAGGGGTTTACAAATAATATGATAACATTCATTACTTTTGAATGCACACTTTGATTTATTACGATTAAAGTCTTTGTTTAACAATAGGTCGTGGCTTACTGCTTATGGTGATACTGAGTTCTTCAACGGCGTTGGTATTTCGTTGTATGTAAGCTGCTACTCTAGAGTTGAAGACGTTCTTGCTGCTTCAGAGTCGAGGGCTGTTCTTCGCTGAATTGGTAGGCCCAAGGCCTGGTGATCGGGAGTACCTTTGATGATACTCTAGCTGCCAAAGCTAGCAGATATTCAGATAAACTATTTTTCACTGCACTTCAATTCACTTGCAAACACTTCATACAAAATTACTGATCGCGCAGAGCTTCTCCCTTGTTAACAATTGCAATTCGTATGACTCTGACATAGCTTCGCCGTACTCAACTGTAATATCCAATCTGTTCTCGAGCTTGACTTTTGCCCAGTTTATATACTGTTCAGTTTTATTCTTATGCGTCAACATATTTTCACCCCTTGCTTACTGAAAAAACTGAGAAAAGCTCATATCGCAATAATTCGCCGAATCGTTATTCACATTGTTATGTCTGCAATTGTTATTGTACATTTTTAATGTTGTTTGTCACATAGTCATGCCCTTTAGCATTTTTCCATTCTAGTCATACATTTCGCACATGCTCATATACGTTTCATTTCATATACCAATACTCTACAGCGCTTGCTTATCCGTACGAACACTCATACAGTGTGTGCGCTTGCCTATGGGTGTGTTCATTAATACAGCTTCATTCTTATCTGAACGTATTGAGTTGTACTATCTTATATGCTACTTTCAAAGCGTATATCTTTGCAAGGCATTTATTTAATTATATGATCTACAGATCATTACAAGAAGCTTTGAGCTTGGTCGGGTTAGCCAGGCTGCCAAGAAGCAAAGCCGTTTTCTTGCTAGGGTCTTGGTTGAGGCTACAGCGAGACACCCAGGCAGCGATCGATTCGGGGTCAGAATTGTATTAAAAATTTTTTAAATATTAGAGGATGTAAAAAAAGCAAACCAAGGTAGTCACCTAAGAAGCCCAGCTTGGTAATGCTTTTTTTGATAAATCTGCAAACCAAAGCAGTAACCCATATAACCCAGATCGGCTATTATTTGAACAATTAAACTACAAACCAAAGCAGTAACCCAAATGACCGTGCACGTGTATCACTTAATCAATAATTAATTACGGGCTACGTGGGTGTCTGTTTTGCTTTTGTAGATTAATTACTTCAACGATTCACGAGCGGGGCTACGTGGGTTACTTCTCTGTTTTACAGATCAATGTTTTAAATAATACCCGATCTGGGCTACGTGGGTTTAAGTTTTGGTTCGCATTTTCCTGCATTTTAAAAAATTTTTTTTAATTTTCATACTATTTTTTCTAATCATTTTTCATAATCATTTTTTGAATGATTTTGATACCGCGTTCGGCGGCTAGCTAAACGCGTCTCATGCAGCCAACTTCCTATGACACAATTGTATTTGTTGCAACTCACTTCAGTTGGCACGCTCGCTGGTGCTCCGAGGCTGCCCAAGTCTGGCTTTATACACGTTACACACACACACACGCGCGCTCTGGGGGATGGCGAGCCATCTCAATATGTTACAGATATAATAGCAGAGTATAATTATTTACATTGGATTTGGAAAAATATGTACATAGATCAAAATAATATTTTTTTAAATTTTCGTCCACACGTATGTACCGATTTTGAAAAAGGGGCTTTTGGCTTCAATAAGTGCATTATTAAAATCGAAAAAATGTGAAAAAATTTGAGGTTACTCTTTTCAATGAGATAAAAAATAAAAAAAAATTCAGATCGGTTATTGCATCCTATCGCTATGTGTGCACTTTCAAAATTTTCAATGATTTTATCCAAAGGCCTGAAGCACACAAAAATGAAGACGAGTGAATTGCTATGGCGTGACGAGGCGTATAAATGAGTTGCTCACAAGGACGTGCCAGCCAGGGTAGAGCGAATACCCCGTACAGCGACATTCACGTGCATCGTCCGAGCTATCTACGAGACCAGCAACGCACATGAGCTTGGACCAAACAGGCGAGCCACGAGTTGGAAGCAGCTGGAGAACAGCGTAGAGACGAAAACTAGGTGGAATCGAAATCCAAGGCATATAGCGGTGAAGGAAGTGAGGACGTGATTTGGATTGTAATAGTGAAACTTGGTCGGACACGCGTATATGTAGCGAACGTCGAATGTTCGTTCGTAACTACGTTCAGCTA